TCATATATTTTTTTATATTTATTATTTAAATATTTTAGTATCTAAATTTTAAACTAAGAATTTAATCATTAAAATTAAAAAAATTAAATTTAAGTTTTGAGATTTAATTCAACAAACTTTTGGCACGTCTTAAAGTTCAAAGACAACAATTTTATAATAATAATTTATTTTATCTTAACATTTAATTAGTCTATGAAACAATTGATAAGCATCAATTTGTGTTATATTATCTGTTGTATATTTTTTAATCGGAAATACAGAAATTTTTATTTCTTTCTTAATTAATATTGTCTATTTAAAAATTAAAATTCCGTAAAATACAGATTATTTATTTAATAAATAGCGAATGTTATTCATTCGAAAGGATTTCAATTTTACTAATAAACTTTACCGAGCAATCACGAAATAAATAAGCCGTTCTAGCAGCGCACAAAGATAATCGATAGCATCGTGTATCAATGAGAATTACAAGTGAGTGTATTCTCGTCGTTCTGCCGATATATATATATATATATATATATATATATACGTGCAAGAATTAAGGGGCGCGGTACAATTACACTGTCCACTGTGTGTCCAGGTGAGGTACGAACGGCGATTACCACAGAAATCATGTGTAATCCTTAATTAAAATTAGAGCGGCTCTCTCGCGAACGCAGCGGGGGTTGCGACTAGGGAAGAAAGAAGAAGACGCAGAGAGGATGAAGAAAAAAGAGAAGAGGGAAAATAGTCCGCGGTCGAATTCATTGGCTCCTACGGCGAGCCAGGACTCACTTTGCCTCCTCGCGGGGACTCCTATTTCTCCCGCTTACCTGCCGGGATTTTGCCGGGAACCCCTCACCCTTCTTGCCATATTTATTGGAATTCGGAGTTTTATGAGCGGTACGAACGCGCCAGGAAAGGTTTCCTCGGTGAAATTGCGTTTATATCGAACGCTCCTAGACTTTCGGCGATTATGACCCGCGTTGTACGAGACATGAGATGCGTAACGATACGCGAGCAACGCACTACTCGATGTGTCGCTTTACCTCGCGCGAGGCGATGAATTTAATAAACTTACGAACAGGATGATAATATTAATATAAATTATCTCGTTCGCCTCGAGTTGCGGCGAATTGCGCTTCGCCTTTTTCCTACAACGATATTTTACTCCGCGACGAAAGGCACGCGCGAGTAGTACGCGCGGAGCATTAGTCGGCCGTGTCATAAGCTTTGAGAAATAAAACAACCAAGCTTCTTAATGAAAAACATTCCAACGTTTGGAATAGACACACATTTTAATTGCAAATATTTGTTACACAAGAAATTATATATTTTTTTATTCGTGTTATTTTTCGAAACCACATATGCGTCAAGTATTCTTTCGAATACTTATGTGAAGATTAAAGTCAGGTAAATTATAATTATTACATCGCGGTAATTTTAGGGACATCGTGTTATAAATATAAATGTCCCGTCCAAATGTCCCATCAAGTTGATATCCATCGTCCGTCAGAATAATATATTACGAACAACGGATCCTAGGTCCATAATTTTCTCTATATCGATCAAGAGAGAGAGAGAGACGTATAAACTGAACGCTACAAGCATCGAGGATGACACGAGGGCAAAAACGGGAAGAGGCCATCGGCGTCGGACGTGGGATGTACGGCAAACCGAGCGGCATTATTTCAGAAAATATCTGATCGGCCGTGACGTCGCGTACCGCGGCACAAGCTCGCGTATGGCACATGTAGTTACACGTGTCCGACGCACTTTATCGCGCATAATTAATCCGGGACTAGTCTCTCCGGCGAGAGCGATGAGTCCATGTACGAGAGAAGTACAATTTTCTATGTAGCTCCAGTAGCACGGGAGAATTGATAAGAACTTGATAAGACACGTATTTGAAGCGACTTGTTGTACCTCTCCGTCACAATATCGCTCTCTTGCTAATTTTAAGATAAAAATTAACATCTAGCTAGATAATGTAAAATAAATCTAAAATAAATCTGTTTATTTAGAAAAAAAAAAATAACGCAAGATAAAAACGTGAACGAGGCAAGTCGCGCTCGCCGGGAAAAATATTTATACCGCAGGTACGAGGATGCATCTCTAAATAAGTACTTTGCATCACTGAATCTCGTAACAGAACCCGAGCAGGTCGAACGTAGGAGCGAATAAGTGCAACGCGTGACTTTTAATCCGATAATCGGCGCCGTGCACACACGCATCCGCCGTGTCCCTCCACGCGCGTTCCGGCGTGTTCGAGTCCTAGGTCGAGTACAGTTCTAGTCCGAACACAGATAGAATTGATTCTTTCTCCATCGGCCATTACCTGGTCACGGCTGTCAGCTCGGGTGCTCGCACTCGCCCGGCGCGAATAATATAATAAATCACGCGGGTAGAGAGAACGATACGAGAGGCGACTTCCCTCAGCTATCCGAGCTACGTTTCCATACCGGTCATGGTGTTACCCCTGGTGTGTTCTCTCCCGTGTGTGTGTGTGTGTGTGTGTGTGTGTGTGTGTGTGTGTGTGTGTGTGTGTGTGTGTTATACGTAGCTGTGTATGTTCGTGCCTAGGTGTATATCAGCGGCGCCGCGATCTCACGACTTCCATGTTTTCAGCCGCGCTCCTCGTCCTGTAGCCTGGTTGCTGCTGCTGGTTATAAGCGACGGTAGCAACAACGACGACGCGAGAGAAAGAGAGAGCCATCGATCGTGCCTGCCACTTCTCATATTTTTCCACTTGAAATTGTTATGTAATTCCGCATGACGGCATCGATCGCCACGCGATTCGAAGAGCCTCCCCGCGACCAGGAACCCTAACGATACTATTACAGGGATTCAGTACTTTATAGTACTTCAGTTGACTTTAGGATTCTCTTTGTGATATTCTAACAATCTTCTCCCAATACTGTCTTTGAATAACATCCAAGTTATTTTATTATTTAAACAGATAATTTTGTTATTAGTAGCAAAGTGTTTTTAGAGTGGTAAAATTAATTTCTTGAATTAGGATCCAAAAATTGATTGAATTAGGGTTTTTGTTCCCGCAATAAGTAAATTTGATCAATATATGCAATTAATCCAATAAATTTCTAAATTAAAAAATGTCTTTCTGTTGATTCTTTTATTAATATTAATTACTTATTTATTATCTCAACTTTATTAGTAAACAGGAATTCTGAAAAAATCGTAAAATTAAAACTTGCACTAACGTAATGCTTGCTATATTGATATATAAGTAATAATCTATTTATGTTATATATGTTTATGCAAAACTTGAAGAATTATGTTCTTACGAGAGTGTAGACACAACAATATATTTATGAATACTTTTGTGATTATTTATTTACAAATTACATTTCTCGATGATTTAATTTCCAAAAAATTTTTTAAATAAGATCAAACGAGATAGAGGCTTGTATTTATAAAATAATAAAGAAAAGAAGAAATTAAATAAAATGAAAACACATTAAAGTAAAACATATAAAAATGTAACATATAAAAATGTAATAAAAAATAACAAAAAATATACTCTAGCAGAGCGTGGTTTCGATCCACGGACCTCTGGGTTATGGGCCCAGCACGCTTCCACTGCGCCACTCTGCTGTTGCGATGAAGGGTCTTTATTGCATCTAATAGAAATCCTACAATATTTCATTTTATTAAGATTTTTAAAAATATAATTTATAATTGTGTTATTGTGTATCATCACAGAAACAGAATCCCTTTAAAAAATAGTGTAAATTTCGCTTCAAGAAGAGTAAAATGGTCTCATATAAAAAATCCAGATATACATTTGCATATGCTATATTATAAGTTAATTGATGTTATTTTTTAAATATATTTTTTATTACTTACACGATATAAAAATATATTTTTTTTTATAATTTTTTATAATTTGGGAAATCTCAAAGTTTAACGTCTAATATGTAAAAAAGTTCATTTCTCTAAATCGTGAAATTCTTTCAATTTTCTGTAACAATTTCATGACTATTTCAACACTAATAGATTTAAATTGATTGATTAAATCTACTTTCAAAAGTGTTTATCTTGATGTGGAATCGCTCGAGACATTTCGCAAAAATAAGCATGTGGAAATTGGTCCTGGCTTACTTTAGACAACTCGGACCGTCTTATGGCAATCTTTACTGTACGCACCGTGGTCCCCGTGTAAAAGTAAAATGTAAACGAGATTGCGACGAGGATTGACGCGAGGAAAACGGTAGTCGCAGACTTAATCGTAAATAATGGTCCGAAGTTCGCGCACGTTCGTGACACACGACAGAATGTATGCACGAATTCTTAGATTGGATAAACGCGAATGTCAGGTGCCCGCGAAGCAAAGAAACGCGAGCACTATTATTAACTCGTTTTATAGCCGGATGTATCTAAACTGCGAATAAACGAGCATTAATTATGTATGGACGCAATAAAATCCGTATTGCGCGTGTCTGAATAAGCGAATCTCACTTTTCGTTTTTATTATCTCCAACGTCGGCAACAAATCATTGTGATATATCGCCGTTCGATGTTTCATAGACGTAGCTCGCTGATAATGAAAATTGTAATAATGTCATATTTGACGACGTATTAGACCAAATGCGTAATCACACGTACGAACTTATATTTTTACATTCTGATTTAAATTTTTTTAATTCTCTTTAAAAATATAAAAGCACAATTATTATAGATGATTTAAATCAGTTGAGCTGTAAGATTAATGCAAAATATAAACTTGATAAAATCTATAAAATGGAATAAATTAAATTAAATAAAAAATATTTCTTTTTATTTTTAGTAATAATTAAAATATACGTATTTTTATCATATGTGTAATATATAATAGTGTATAAAATTGCAACAAAATAGTAAAAAAAAAAAGAATTGAAAAAAGATATGACTTTAAATAAAGCAAACATAAAATTTGCTATTGCAGACAATAATGAAAACAGACAACCGTGGAGTTTCTGATTGGCATCGCTAATTAAAAAACTGTTTTCTCTTTTTTTCAGTCTGACATTGTCCACCAGAGTGTCTACGAACTGGTGCATAGCGAAGACCGGGAAGAATTGCAACGGCAATTAATGTGGAATTCTTTTCTACCCGCTGAAAGTGCAAGTCTGCCGTTGCACGACGCACTTTCGCCCCAGCATTGTCATCTGCTCGAACGTAGCTTCACGGTTCGCTTCCGTTGTCTTCTCGACAATACATCCGGTTTTCTGGTACGTATATGTTGCTTTATGCCGCATCGTATCATTTATTTTGTACCTCTGCATATTTTACAGTGTTCATGTTAAACGCACTGCAAATTTTCATAGAATCTAGTGACAAAAATGGATTTTTGGAAAATGTCTCAATATATGAAATATTTCAAAACCTTTCCAGCTCTCTCTGTTCATTTGAAATTTTCCCACCAATTAAAATTCAATCTTTAATTATATATGATATCAGACTTTTTGTTTCCAGTTTGATTTTGAAATTAAATAATTTTATATTTGAAATCAAAATCGAAATTTTGTTTTAATTTTGTATATAAATAAAACGTATCTTAAAATTTATTAAACAATGAATATCGATATGTACTCTAATTTATTCAATACGTATTTACCTATTAAAACATTTATCTGTTAAAATTTGCGATTATTGGAAAATTGATTCTAATCCTCATCTTTTTGTGAAAGTACATAAACGATCTCGAAATCTTTGCGGTGAATGCACGTAATTACAATAAATGGCATGTGCACCGGGTGCCTTGGTAAGGACCAAGTCAAGATGACGTTCCTTCACGGTTACAAAAGCGATGTGCCGGCATACAAAACAGTAATTAATAATTTCACTGTCATAAAGGGAAGAGGAGCGAACTCTCCATAACGTTGCCACCGCTTTCCCCCGCTCTCACGTAATTGCTTTTTTTTTCCTTCCATCTTTCCGTCCACCTTTTCTTCTCTTTCTTCGATTTGTTTCCTATTTACTCTCTCGACCTGCCATCGAGTTAAAAGCTGAAGATATTAGATTGTTGCGCACGACGTGTCGTTTTATGTCAACAATTTTTCTATAAATTTCACGCGAGACATTAAATAATATAAAGATAATCGAATTAATGAAAATAGATGAAAATTTGTATCTACTGGAAAGCTAAACGCAAATTCATCGAGTACCAATGATACTTTCACCGATCGACACGAATGCCATTTGGTTTATATGATGAAATTATGGCGCGCGAGATTGGTTTCTCGTTTTCTCGCAACCACGATCATTCCCAGAGAAGTATCCGGTGTTTAACAAATTTCCTGAATATTCCTGGAGGAATTTCGAGCAGCGCTTACATCAACGGTCTTAAATCTAGGCCGTGGGGCCGACATTCCCCGCGCAAAGCTGGACGTGTATAATCATAGGCCCAGCCAATGAACCGTGACAGCGCGGCGGAGATTGAAACGATAATTCGTCCGGACGGCCGAGCTGTCCATCGTTGGTACCGTTGTCCCGACGGCGTTCGAGAAAAGGTATAAATCAAGGACCAAACAAAACCAGGCTCTCTCTCGGAGGAACGGAGGCACGGGCGGGAAAGGGGGAGGGAGAGGAAGAGGGGCGGTCGGGCGAAGAGACGCGGCAAAACACTAATTATCTTACGGCAAACACACCGCGGATGCGCCGCAGGTATACCCGGCCCGTCGAACGCGGCCGGACGACGGCGGTATTATCCTGGCAAAGGACAAAGGCGCGAGAGAGCGAGAGCAGCAAGATCCATGGCACCGCGTCAAGCTCGCGAGAGTTCGGCGCAAAAACAGTGCCGCTTTGACGTTTATGAAAATGAAACTGTAATCGTAAAAGAGTTTACGGCGCGCGAGAGGCACACCGTCACCTCCTGCAGGATCTGCCCTCCCCTACGCGACGGGACGTACCGTCGATCTAGCTACCGTGAGCCTTCTGCCGGTTTTTTGCCGGACCCATCTACGTGAGACTGTTCTGTTACGAGTGCCTTCGATCTGTCACTCGTATCCGTCGCTGGACGCTGCCTGAGAGATTCTTATAAAAAAAATAAAACTACGAAAGAAGCAAAAAATGCTAAATAATAAAGTAATAATAATAATAATATTTGTAATATAATAATGTAAATATAATAATAAATAAAATATAATAATGTAGTAATATAAATTTGTAACAATATTATTTAAATTAAAAAGGGAATAGTTGAATAGATAAGTAAGAGATAACACATTTGTTCTTCCTATTGTAGTTTTATGGTGTTTTTACCATTACTCTACAGACATTATGGATTATTTGTTGCAGCGTCTCGACATCAGGGGCCGAGTTAAAGTACTTCATGGGCAGAATCGGAAAACGGAAGAGCCACCTCTGGCCCTGTTCGCCTTGTGCACACCGTTCGGGCCACCGTCGCTTCTGGAGGTACCGCAGAAGGAAGTGATGTTCAAGAGCAAACACAAGTTGGATCTCGCGCTCGTGACGATGGATCAGAAAGGAAAGATGCTTCTAGGCTATTCCGACGCGGAACTAACGAATCTCGGTGGCTACGATCTAGTCCATTATGACGATTTGGCCTACGTTGCTAGTGCACATCAAGAATGTAAGTTTATTCATTATAAAAACTTTTAATTTTTGCAATCTAACATTTCGCAAGATTACAGTAACAAAAGCAATCTCAATGAATAAACAGTACAAGATAGAAATCTTGAATTTCTCGAATTTCCGTTATTCTTAATTAAAATCATAATAATTTAATAAAAATATTGAAACGATATTTATAGAATTTTAATCGTTTTATTCCTTTTCTCCTTTTAGTATTGAAAACCGGTGCGTCAGGCATGATAGCCTACAGATTTCAAACGAAGGACGGCGGATGGCAGTGGCTGCAGACTAGCTCCAGACTGGTCTACAAAAACTCGAAACCAGACTTCGTGCTCAGTACTCATCGGCCTCTCATGTAAGTCTCACTACATTGGCGCTGATGAAAGCCAAGATGAACGGACGGCACAATACAAATGAGTTCGCATTCCAGGGAAGAGGAAGGTAGAGATCTGCTTGGCAAACGTACGATGGACTTCAAGGTGAGCTATCTGGACGCTGGATTGACCAACAGCTACTTCTCGGACAGCGATACTCTGACGGGATCCGTCATGACGCCGACGTTACCGGCGCAACCGGCGCCCCAGAGAGTGAATAGGCGATATAAAACACAGCTGCGCGACTTCCTGTCGACGTGCCGCAGCAAACGCACCAAAATCTCCGCGCAGTCGTCAGTGTCGCCACCGGTGACTCCCACAGTCGCGTCTGTGGATTATCTTGCGGCGGATACCAGCGCAGCAGCCGCGGTCGCTGCGGCGTACAGCAATTTGAATACGATGTATCCGACGCCATACGCGCCCACAGCAGTGGCGGCAAGCACTGATCCTTCCCTGACGACTTACATCGGTCACACAGGCAACTATCATCAGACCCTTTATCCAGCGAGTGCGTTAGATAACAGGTGAGTTGGCTGGGAACAATCCTGAAAAAAATTTTTCTAATTTATCACAATATAAAACAAAAAAAACTTGCAAAAAAAGGTCTAAACTACTCTTAAACTACTTTATATAATGATCAGTCGTTATACAAAATCAAGAAAGTAAAATTAAAAAAATAATATATTGATAAAGAGAGAATTTGCAACTGAGTTTGTTCTTTTTTTATATAGGTATCTCACAGCTGCGACAGAGAATTTATTCCAATACAGGACGCTAGGATCGTATTATCCGGAGTATCATACTGGCACCGCGTACAATGGCTTCATCGACGTGTCGTTGCCTACGTACGAGACCCATCAATTGACCAGTAAGACAGAGGAGAAACTCTACTGTCAACAACTCGGTAGCGGCGAGTCGCCCAAGTACAGTTACGTGGAGACGAGACATCCCGGAAGTGTTAGCGGTTCACCCTATGCCGCCAGTCCGGTGGCAAGCGCGTCCACGATGCATCCAGCGACAACCGATATGAACGTGGTGCGCGCCGGCAGCAGGCATTCCCTGGAGGGTGGCGCGTCGTCCAGCAATTCCGCCGGTAGTTCGCCAGTGACCGGCACGGCTAACGGTATGCTGACGCCAAAGATCGAGGATGTCAAGCCCGAGGTGTATGGCAACGAGGCGCCGCGGCAAACTGTGCTGATGTGGGGCGCGCCGCCGTCGCGCACACCACCCAGAAACAACGGCAGCTACAGTCCTCCGACGCCACATTCGACTCATTCATCCACGCATTCGACTAATACCACCGGTGACCCGCTGAAGTCGCTTGCGGAGATGAACTCCATGAACGGGGACTGTAAATGGCGGCAGACCTCGCCGACAGATCGGCAAGTGACTGCACCGAGTCCGCCAAGGAATAACAAAACGCAACCATCTCAACAGCAGCAACAGCAGCAGCAGCAGCAACATCATCATCAGCAACAGCAACAGCAGCATCAACAACAATATCCCGTCACGACGTCGCAATATCAAGCGGCCGCAGCGGCGGCTGCGGCCGCTGCCGCTGCCGCCAGCACCATCGGTTACACGCACTCTCATCCGGGCCATGGCGGACACGGGGAAGCGGGCTCCGAGGTATGGCAAGGAGTGCAACACCACCATCACTACCAGTACTATCCCTACCACCATCACCACCCCGCACCACCAAGGCACACGCCCCAGTGAGTGTCACTGCTGCCTCACAGATTTTATTATAATTTTCCATGTTGTTTCGAATAAGGTGATCAAATCCCTTAAAAAAACTAATATATACTAATTTTTTTTAGTTCATATTTATGTTTATAAGATATCAACGCGTAGACTCTTTAAAAATAAAATTTTACACATTTTTTTTTTATTATAGTTTCTATTAAGTTAAATCGATTTAATTTCGATTTAATCTTGTTAAAATTATAATTTTTTGCTATATTTATATTTAAAATGCAAAAATTGATTAAATCTTAAGAAAATAAAAATTTCAAAAAATTTGAAGTGTTCTTTTAAAGGGAGATTAATTGAGAAAATATTGGAGGATTGGTCATCTTGAATTTAAAGAATGAATGTGAAATGCTGTTACTATGTGGCTACGAGTGGCTTCAAATTGAAATAATTTCTGTTCATGAAAAAGTTAAACTCTACATACAAGACTTATTAGTTTTATGAGATATAAATGGAATTTAATATTATTTTCTGAAATCTTTTTTAAATATTATATTCACATCTTGAAAAGTAAATAATATTGTTTATTACATTTCAAATCTATTATTAAATTGATTGTACAACGTTAATAATTGAATAGTATTTTACAATAAATACAAAAGCGTTATTGAAGGATAAAATAAATAAACTTGTGATTTATTTCTCTTAAATTAAATATTTGATAATTTTAAATATTTACACATCTCTATCGATTGAACAGACATTTTAATTATTAGCATACACCCTTTTAATTATTAGCACCACAGTATAAAAATTTACTTATATTTTTATTAAGTAACAATTTCTATCAATAGACGCGATTTATTTTGTCGAATATACAACATGATTATTTTACCGATTTAGTATGTCGTGACAAGGCAAATGCATGATTAATTAAAAATTTGTTTCTGCATCATTTTCTATATAATTTTAATGATTATTTATAAAACTCACTGCCACTATTATAAGAATCATAGTTTAATAACGAGTTCCATCAATATGATAACTCTAAATAGATGTTCAATAATATTATCAATCAAGGAACAAGTCAAACACGCAAGTATTACATAAAGAAACAATACTCTTCTTATGATTATGAAATCGTAACTGATTCAATTTTATTTTTCAAGAAAATAAATTAGAAGAATAATTTTCAAAAAATAAATAAGAAGCATAATAATAATTGAAAAAAAAAAAGATAATTTAAGAATATTTTGAATGTATTGATGATTTTATAAGCGAAAAATTATTTAATGTCGGATTGTGAATTGAACTTTTACAATCATTTAATTTTTTAAATTCAGTTAGATCAAATGACTGAGAAAGTTACGTAATACTAACGTTAAAAAGTAGATTTCTTGTCGGGTTATTTGGTGCGTTCTATCGCTATCTGTAATGCGAGAAGCTTAATTTAGTACACGTAAGATAAGAGAGACCGTCCATTTGGTTGCAGCACGCCACCGTCAGCTGCGGGAACGGGGACGGGGGTGGCGGCAGGCATGGGCATGGGCACCGGGGCGGACAACAGCACCAGCAACAACAACAACGTCTTGTACCACCCTCCGCACCACCACCACGTGGTGGGATCATCAGCGGCGGCGGGACTGGGCCCAACTGTCCCACAGATTCCAAACCGGACGCCGGGAGTCCTTTGCTGTCCATCTCTGAGGTGACTAACACCCTGCTCAATCAATAGTCCCTTGGTCACTTCGGCGTCGCTCTACGTCAGTGATGAAGGTAACTTTATTTATACAATTAGACAATGTTAAGTGACAATGCGCAGTATCAAACGATTTAATTTTGAATAAATTAAATATATATAGTGGATAGATTAATATTTGTCATGCATGCATTCAATCTACATTCTGCATTTTTAGTTGCAGGTATCTCTGAAGAGATATCTCCCGAAGCGGATTCCAAAACGCGTCACTGTACCATACAGATAATGTCGATTAAAACAAATAAGGATATACGTATAGTACTGTAACATACTCATTACAAAGCTAATAACCAATCTATTATTATATATAACTTTCATTGCATTAATTTATGCGTACCGATACGTTAAGTGGATGTTCTTCAGGATTCACAGTTTGAGTCTGCATGTGACACTGATCGCAAGCTTGTGTGTACATAAAGAGCAGCGATCACACAACGTCTTGCGATTTCATTTATTCACCGCTACAGGATGTAGCAATTGCTCGACGAGTAGCAATAGCACTCTATCACAGAACAGATAAAGAAATCCAACAAAACGATTCCTCGAAATAATATTCTTTTTAAATTAAATATTGAAAATAAATGTTTATTTGAAATTAGCTAGTCTTTTCTAAAATATAAAATATAAAAATTTAACTTATCATGATATAAGAAATAATTCTCTTATCTCGTATTTATCAAATGAAATTCAAGAATACAAAAGCAAAATATTGCACATTATAAGAAGATAAGAATTTAGAGTAAATTATTATAATAAACATGATCTCATAATTTATTAATTTTTATTCTTATATTAATAAAAGACTGTGCTATTTTTATGAGTTACAAACACACATTCTGTTTCTGTTCTGCGATAGATTGAGAAATAGCGTAAAATAGTGATCACTGTCCAGACAAATTGAATAAAATGGGACAATGAACGACATTCCTTTGAACCAAAAAGCGTCAAACGTTACTGATATCTACTGATATATCTGACAATGAAGAGCACAAAATTTGTCATTTCAATTGGGCTTTGAGCAAGCGCAACAAATGCGATTTTAGTTTGTATTAATACCATGTCGATGTATTTGTATAATCTTACCCGTATTCTAATACTTTTGTATCCCGTGCTATTGCGTTTGTATAATTATTTTTCTTTTCTAAAAGAGAATATAGATTCTGTGATATGTGTTAGGTAATTTAAACAATGTTCTTCAAAGCGAAGGCGTACTCGAGTGTAATATTTATTGATATAGAATGGTGATAAGGAAACTCGTCCAGAAAAATGCGAACGATGTATCATGATACGAATTACAAAATACGAAAACACAAGACGGTGATTCTTTTCTAAATGAAAATCGAAAGTATTTTGATTGACGAGAGATCGATTCTTGTAAGGATTGCATGCATTTCAAGGATACATACCGAGTAAGAAGTGATTTTAATGCAGGTTGTCATTATGATAAGCGAGTCAGTCTTGTTCAAATAAGAAAAAAAAATAGTATCCAACATACATTCCACGTATATATGTATAAGCGATCTCTCTCAGTTACATGCATGAAAATGGAATTCCTACTGGGATAAGAAATATAAAATAAGTTCTCTTCCTTACGATAAATCTTTATTTTCCACTTTACATCATATAATTTTGTATAAAAATCGAGACCTCACCAAATATTTTAAATAAATTCGATATTCCTGCGCGAATCTTGGCTTCCTGCATATTTATTTCATAATTCACAACAATTAATAGAAGATTATTGATAAAAGTTAGAAAAAAGTGAACATTTCCGTTTAAATTAGTCAATTAATTTTTTATTACGATTATAAAAATAAAAATTTGTAACAGACTTATTTTATACAAAACAATATTGTGAGATAAAAGAGTTATTAAAAATTGTTTCTAAAATTCTAAAAGTATTTTATATGGCATTAAGAGAATACTATTTTATTGCGTTTTGTTTAGCGATATTTGTTGAAAATATCTGTTGAAAATATAGGTATAAATTAATTTCAATAGAAAATGCCGAGTATATAAGAAATTTGGAAATCTTTTATAAAATTTTCTGAATTCACTTTTACATTTTTAATTAATAAGCTACTATAACGGGAATATTAAATTATGTGCTTCTAAATTATTTAGTTCTTCTTTGAACGATGAGAATCTCATTGAACGATCAGATAAGAGGAAAGTGATTTATAGTCCGTTAATTCGGCTAAACTCGTCTTGCCAATATTTGGTTAATAAGTTTGTAATTTTTGTACTTAATTAATTTATACATATTATTTATGTATACGAGTAATTCGTGTTTAGCGACGCTAGATGGGCCTTCCAATAATTTTAAGCGCATTCTCTCTCTTTCTCATTTGCAAAGTCAAGGAATTCTCCGAAGACTCTCGTTAAAGAAAGAACTCAAAGAAGACTCTTAAAGAAGATCCGCGCGAATAAGAATATTATATACGAGCACAAAAAATGAAGAAAACTATTTTAAGATAACATTGAAAGAGCTATTGTTTCCATGCGCTTCTAAAAGAACATAACTTTGCATATCCGTAACTGCATATCAAAGTGGTAAAAAGTAAAGTTAAAAAGAGCGATATATATTTAGATATTCTCTTCCATACTTTTCGAATCATCCCATTATTTATTAACTATGATATAATAAGAGACGTATCAGGTGCGTTATACAAAAAGTAACGCCCCGTTAAGGATAATAAGCAAATTCCGTTTCCTACGCGTTTCATTTTTAACGCGTCGTACATTTTATATGTTCATATATACGAGATATATGTGTCTACATTTTTAGTATAATTGAAGTACCGGATGCAAAGATCAGGCAAGTACTTTGTTCGATCAATTGTATAAATTTTTATACGTTAACTAATAATACACGAATTACACGTTTCAATATAATTAAGAAATAAAATAGTTAAAATATATATATATATATATATATATATAAAAAGAGTGCAAGAGTTATATTATTTATTTCCATAACTGGAAGAAAATGTCTTGAATATTTTGTTGTATTTCTACAATAACTACGATAAGTTGAACTTATCCCATATTAGATATTTGCATCCTAATCTTCGATTATCTACGAAACGTATCCACTCTACACTTTGATTGACTTTATAACTAAATGCAGCTCAAGATAACATCGAAACTTATTACTATTAGATATCTCGTTAACTTACAGATATTTAAAACACAATTCCGAAATTAAGTTAAATATTTATAAAATAACAGTTTCAAAAACTAGATTGCGCATTTAAAAGATTCAGTTAAAGTAAAGTGTCTGCTTTTCAATCGTTAATTTTGATTCAACTTTAACTTGCTAAAGTCTTCCCAATGTCTTCTTCGTATATCCATCAACGCAACAGATCTTGATCACACATATTTCTTCGAGATATGTTATAATTTTCAAGATATTTCTTCGAATGTTTTTAGATTTTTGTACAAAACATATGTAATCCGATTAGACATGATTGACTAACGTCAATATTTATCTATAATATTAATAAATATTTATAAATTTAGACTAAAAGAAAAATGGAAGAGAAAAACATATCAAAAGAATAAGAACACGCTGATAGTAATTTGTTTCGATTCAAAGTCTTGTATATCCATATTTCTGACTTACACAGTTATATAGCTTGCGGAAAATATTTCTCGTTTCTCTGCAATATCCTTAAACTTTAAGAAGCTACTATTATTATTATTATTATTATTATTATTATTATTACTGTAAGTAATCGAGTCTAGTCCATTCATTAAAAAAGCAAATTAGTAATGATATATAATAATATGTATGCTTACATTATGATAATATTCTCGTCGTGAAGCTAGTTTAACTGACAATCTTATCAATAATAAGTTCTCTTGTGAGTAAGTTCTCTTGATGCGTCAACATGTAAATGTAACTATAGGAAAGGATAGAATGATATATTCCAGTGAGACACGCATTGACAGTCGCCTCTATCTACATCGAGTTGATCACGAGGATATTTTTATGATCTAAGCATTAATGTATATTCATTGTATATTTGAAATAAGGTATATAATATAATATAACGAGCAGCATAAATTAAGATCATAGTCAGTACAGATTCTCAAGCAGCTATCCATATAGACCGAAAACACGTACCTTATTTTCCAACAATTGTCGCAGGAATAAAATGCAATTAAGCATGATTTCATTCGGCATGCTGCATGACAGCGAATGCGAGTAATCTCCCCGAAGAAGGTCAGAAAAGTTCGCTTCTTCGAAAATTTTAGATGACTTCTGCGTGAAAGAACTAAATAGAAAAGTTAAGATTGATCCTTTTAAATGTCATTACATGAATAAAAAAATTATAAGTTCTTCGTTCGAGATTGATTTTTTTTTATTTTTACATATTATAATGTTATTTTAAAGTAATATACAAAATATACTTACTTAACAAGGAGATATAATTTTACGAAAATTGAAGAAGCAAAATTAAAAAGTATAGTTAAAATATCATTTTAAAACTTTAAAAATAACATTGTTTAATATGAAGTATTTTCTAGAGAATTTTTATATAATATAATATTTTATTTATTTAAAATTCTTCATATTTTTGCATTATATTAAATATTTTAAGAAATTATCAAATGTTTATGTATTATTTTTTTTGTCATTGATTAGAAACTGAATAAAAATTTAATTTTTCTCGCCAATTATATCTAAATAAATAAATAAATAAATAAAAAGCTAGTACATGCTTAAATAAAAAAAGTACAGACATAATCTTTCAAACGAAAAAATATATCATAAATTGTTGGACTTATCAGCATAATATTTACTACTTACTTAGTTATTTTTGCAAATGATTTTATTTTATATGTCTAAATATATCGAAGTCGAGTAACAGTACCATGCCAAATCGAATTTTGAATCTTGATCACTCCATCCATTTTTCTCTGATATATTATACCTTATAGGATCTAGCTATTATTAACACCATTGCTAATGATAAGTTCTACAAATAAAATTTAAAAACTGTATCAAATGTTTATATATATATGAAATAAATTATGATAATGCAATAAAATTAGTGTTTTATCAATTTCTATATGTCTCTAATGTCTTTATAATTAGCTTTCTAAAGACTACTTAGATTATTAAACAATTACTAAATTTACAAAATCTGGTTACAAAGCAAAGAGAGAAAAAATAATAAGCAAAATTTAGGAAATATTGAAATATTTTTTCATATAACTTCAAATTCCTATTAATATTAAATATTCTATTAAATATTCTATATCCTATTAATATTAATATTAAAATAAAAATAATTTGAAGAATCACGTTCTTAGAATTCTAAATTTGAAAATTTTAATGCAAAAATCAAATTAAAAATTGACAAAATATTAAGACCTAATTGGAAAGGAGATTGCACTATTTTTTATACTGATCGTCACGATTTTGAGAATTTAAAATTTTAAATCGCAATAATTTAAATTCTTGAAATCAATAAAATATTAGGACATAATTAAGAACAAAATAATGTTGTAATAAACAATTTTACAATATAATGAATATCTTACATTATTCTTCAAATATAATGAATATTTTACATTATTCTTCACTGTTAAATTTCGCGCGTTTCTCGCATAATGTATTCAGTGTTGCCCTCTTACATTTATTCTCTACACTCCCATAACAATGAGTCTGTTCTTTTTAGCTGCACTAGTTCAGAGTTTATCTTTCTTCTTCCAGTAAGAAAGAGTACAACCATGGATGTGTAACTTTATTTATAGGTTATATTATTTAATTTAACTTCATCGATTGAATAGTGTGAATTTTATACGATGGCAAATAATAAAAACAGTTGTTTTATTACTGCACCTGGCTTCTGTCCGGATTGTGGTTCAATTTTACCTTTGCTTGGCAAAAGAGGAGAAGTTACATGTTACACATGCAAAAGAGAATGGGGTTCCGATGGTATATTTTATACATTTTTTAGTT